GTCCCTCGCGTAAATGTGTCGGGCTGACATATTTCATACTCATTCGTTTCAGAGCGGATGAACTACATTGAGGCCTGATTGATCAAGTTAAGCAAAATGCCTAAGAAAAGTGTCACGAAGGAGTGTCCCGGATGCGAGCGACAGGTGGTCTTAGAAATTACCTCTAGTTTTTAATCCAAGTACAAAAGATTCGTACATGGTGAATGCTTGTGAAGTTCTTGAAAAGGAAGCTGCTATTTCGCCAGTGCAGTTCAAACCAGTCGTATCATGAGTTGCAAAACCCTCGGTGTTCATGGTCGATTGCTGCTCAGATCGGGGTTCTGGCTTGGTGGTGTCAATAATCGTTCCTGCGATCCCGGTGCGGGAAGGTGTTCATACCTGGTGGTCCCGTCATTCCAGCTCCCGGTAGCGTGCAAGACATGCCCGTGCGGCCACTCGTTCCGGAAGCCGAGCGACTCGACATCGGTGCCTACCCGGCTTTCCAGCTCGTCTAAGGAGGGCGAGTCTCCCGCCAGGCGGCGCACTGAGCGCGTTAAGCGTGAGAAGCCGAAGTTCTATGACGCCAGCCAATACGAGCGTGCCCCCAGAAAACGAGTGAGTGCGGGCTGGTTGCCAACTGCCGTAGCACTTCACACGCTTGTATCCTGCGCGACTATATTGGAAATAGCGTCCAAGGACGCCGATTATGTAAGGTAAGAAATTGCACATGTTTTGAATTATTTTAAGTCATCATGCATAAACACAAAGGTGATAGTCTGCTTCATGATGTTGGTGCACCGCACCATAAGCCCCAGCTCGCCATCAGCTTATGGCGCAAGTGACCGAGTTGCCATCTGTACTGAGCTCTTTTGATTTCCGGCCAGAAACCATTCACAGTGTGTCCAGTTTCCACCAGGGTGTCACAGCTTTGACACTTTTGGCAGTCAGCTACTACCATTCCCCTATGTTGAAGGGATTGGGTGTACCCGAAATCTCAAACTCCAAAGAGCGGCTAAAACAGTCAAGTTTTAGAGAGAAAAAAATTCGAGTCAAAAGAGACAGTCGAATTCAAAAGAGTACTAAGGTTGAAATTGGCGGCGTACTCCAAGCACTGAATAGCTTTTTTCATATAGGTTCTCTATCTAAGAGCCTTCTCTATAAGTCGTACTTATTATGCAGAGTTGTGGCCTTAGCACGGGTCCGTTGGTAGCCGCTTGTCACGTGGCGGTTTCTGCATTATGCCTGCCTTACAAGCTCGTTATCCATAGCGTTATGATCGAGGAAAATGTGGAAATGACAGTGAATTGAGTGGTGGGATTTTCCTGGGGCTGAAAACTCAATTTAGGGAGTTGAATCGTCTGTCCGTTTTAAAACGTGAAATGGTATAACTTTTGTGTGTCCAAAAGTTTAGAAGCGATTGCCCCCGTGACCATGCGAATGGCTGGCCCACCATTCTACTTAACCATTACCAAAAAAATTGCTCAGGATGGTTGGCACAGTTATCATCGGGTTCTGGGAACTCGCTGAGCAAAGCATGTTGCGTGTATCCTGAACTTGCTACCAAATCGTGCCGCCCCGTTCAACGAATAAGTTGCCCTCCGTTATTTCGCCGGGCGGGACCGCGGAGGATTGTGCGTGCCCTACTATGTTACGGTACGGCCCTTGTTTACCCCTCGCTAGTTAGCTACCAGCTGACCTTTCCGTGGCGCCGGGGCCTAACAATGCGCCCTTGGGGTCTCATGCCAGTGTCCCTGGATGAAGCCTTTCAGGTTTTGTCCAGATCATGAGGAGAAACGTGCAAGGGTGGGAATGTAGTCGGACAATGTTGTTCTGTCCAGCGTTTTCAAGAGCAGGCCCGTCCAATCCGGACTGTAAAGCCAGTTTGCTGCAATTTCTCCCTAAGAGTGGGAGATGTTCAATCCAACGCAGTCAGCGCACGCAAATACACTGTTCCATGATATAAGTTACATCTTATCAGCGGCATCCAAGTCTCACCACAGCGCGCCCCCTAAGATTTTCGAAAGATATCTCTTTAGTATGTCGAGCCATCGCGCTCAAAGTTCTGCATCATATGGGGCGTTGATTGCGCGTGTTTTGATGCGAATAATGTGTCTCTAGCGTTCCTGGTTTCCGAATACCGACGGTTTTTAGGAACACTGCTCGGCGGCCATGGGCGCCGCCGGCGGAAGCCCGCAACTGAAGATTCCGCCGATCACGTGCGGTGGTCCGACTGTCACATTAACGGATCTCTACACCACGGAACAGATGCATCTACATATCACTGAATCAGAACTGAACAAGAAATACGCCTGTTTCAACACGCACATACGAGCATGCAAATGAAAATTCCGATTTTCAGGAAAATTGCAAAGAAAAAACTAAAGGGCAACCTCTGACCTTGTATATGGGCGTCAATTATTGACCTAGCAACATCCGAATATACAGGTAACGAGTCGCGAGAACCTGTTGAGAGCAATCTGCTGTTTTTCCGCGTGGCTCTATCATTTTTAGTTCGGAAACGGCAGGGGCACATGATCCCCCCCCCCCCCCGCCACTATCAGCCCGTATCATAAAAAGGGTGAATCAGGGCGAGGGCTAGTGATGCGTGCACAGCATGCTCTCAAATCCTAGTCTCATTGAGAATGCATCTCTCGGGGTTCGGACCTGCAGCGGATGATCTCGGACCTTAAGCGCTGCCGATTGCGCCGCGTAAGAAATGGCGCTCAAGATGTCTGTGAGATATTGCGGAGCCACATGCCTGCCTGCGCCACTCGTACATTGGCAGACACTTGCATCAGCCTGCTTGCACTAACCATTCTCGGGAACCTTAGAGGTAATACGATAATATAAGACAAGCTTATGCAGTGTTATCGGTTTAACATTGCACTGTTAAAATACCCGCTTAAGCCAACAACGCACAGTGTCCATGGGTATCAAATGTCTCTACATCGTTGTGGTTGCTCCTACCCTTGCGCAAACAATTGTGCCAGCGCGCTTGGATGCCCGTTGTGATTATGTGCGGTTGACGGAATGCACCGACGTTATCAAATGACGTGCTCAAAATAATTGTCTTCGTTTCTTTCCCCTGATTGTATGAATTCAATCAATGTTGACAAAAAAGTCCTTGAGCTCCTGGTTTGTCGGCATTATGAGTTGGTAGTTCTTATGGACGGTGATGTGTAAAACCTCGACTCTTATGGTGACGAATTCAAAGTTGTTTACTGTCAACATAAAAACTCTGAACTCACAATGGTATCAATTCATTTGTTTTCACGTGCTCCAACACGGAAACCACCTGCGCTTTGTGCATGTATTTTCTCGTATTCGGTTCTCTTTGCGACGTACGCGGTGCCGCATTGAGCAATATCTGACTTTTGATTGTTTTTAAGTGCGTACCATATCCTTCTCCACCGTACATTCTAGCGGAGACTTTTCATGACCAGAACTGCTCAAGAGGAATCCAGTATGGAACGTACGAACAGTATTACCTCTGCCTCGGCGCCTTCTTGTAGCGGCGCTCTTACAATTACTCTTATTACAGAAACCGAAGGTGATAGTGGAGCCTGAAGTCAAGAAGGTTCGGATCGACGAAAGACGTTCATTTAAGGAAAAAGAAAAGGAACGAGAAGATAATGGAGCTGGTGCTGCCGGCGAAGAACAAGAAATTGTGTATGAGGACATAATGGCAGACGCAACGAGGGAGGAAACCGCCAAATACGCCATTGTGCTCTCCGAAATAAACCGCAAACTGGCTGTAGTAAACCCTACCTTTTGAATCCAAGATGTTCAATGCCACCGAGCTCTGTGTGTGAACAAGTGTCGCTTCAGTGAGTTGTGCAAGTGCTCCTGTAAGCGTCCCTTGTGCGTTCCATGATTGAAGGGTTTTGATGTAAAAGTGACGGTTGTGTTTCGCTATCATGCCATGTACAACTGTAGAAAAGTTTGTAAAGATTGTAGCCATACACCATGCCATTTGTATTTTGTAAAAAGCACAATTATCGCGGCACGTTTTTGAAGTGTTGAATCCATGAGACATCATTTTCTTTTTATATTTTGCTGGTGCAGTATCATATTTCGGGTTTTGCTTTTGGTTCTGGCATACGCGCAACTCAAAGCAGTGCATATTTCGATGGGAGAGCGACTGGACTTCCTGTAGCGTGCACGTGTATGTGAACCGAAGTGTCATCCGTGCCTCGTGAAGAATTGCTCTGTAGAATTGTCCAAGAATTTGGATTTGTGGCATTTGACGTATGAGTCCATCCGCCACCAGTTTCCGTCGCTATGTTCCTTCGTTGAAAATAAAAATGTGATACCATCCTGATCGCTGTTTTGGGCGAATTAAAGAGCGGTTGTCTTTGCGAACATGACAGGAAGCATGTAAGGTAAATTCCTCAGATGAGTCCCGGGTTCCGTTTGACACTTAGTGACTTGTTACTCCTTTTCGATTAGTCTGTCCCTAGTACTTCATCTTCCTAGGTTACGGCCTGAATATGCGTCAATCGGCGTTAAAATAAACACCGTAGAGATGCCCGATCAATGATCAGCATTTGCTGCTTAGATGGAATGCACGAAGGTCACTATAGTTGGCAACCCTCCCCTGCTCAGCTCCGGATTCAATAATGTGCCTTCAAGAACTTGAAACCCCAGTCTCGTTGATAACACCTGCCCGAGTGGAAAGGTATGCTAGACTATTCCACTACACACATTGGGTACTCCCACATGAGACCTTACAAACGACGTGCTTGCCAAATGCAGTCACGAAATGCAAGCGTTGCCTTCTGTTAGTGCTTGGGGGAGGCATACGTTCACCTATACCGCCAAGCTATGACTTCGTGAGGATTCGGGCCAGGGTGTTGGCGCCACCAGTTCACAGATGCGCGTTTGAGCCAATACGCCTTACTAAAATCTGGTAGCCATCCGCAGCTGCTAGTGTGAATTGGCACTAATGTTCCAATCATGGCGCTCGTGCGACGGTGTTCCGAGTAACTATCGTCTGAGGGTGGATGTTAGCATTAGCGCGGATCAAAACAAAACCCAACCGGACCAAAGACAAAACCCGGTGCGTATCCGCCGGTTGCGTGCAGGTGTTGACCTCATCCGGAAGATAAGTGCGTACAGCGTAGGTCACTTTGTGATTGGTGTCGTGGAGGATGATTTGGATGTTTGGTTCCTCCATTTGATACATGCGCACCGCAACGGGCATGACGTTACTGTCACCTCTGACTTCTAAGTCAATGTAACTTGGATAGTTCCCTTCGAAAAATATGACAACATGAATGTCTTGATACCGTAGTGCTAGTTTCCTGTTTATGATCTACTCTGGAGTTATTTTTAAAGTACCAAGCAGAAACCAACCAAGAAAAACTTGTAAGCTTATAAACATCATTTGCAGTTATATACATGATACCTACCCTGATGAAGCCAACTGGGTATAATTATGTACCACAAAAAGGGTGTGTGAATTAAAAAAATAGAAGCCATCTTTAGTTGGAAAGATATGACCTAAACTGAAGGCAAATACTTTATTCGAAGCACGGCCTATAACATGCTTACCTTGTGTGTTACTGGATGAAAAAGTTGGTTAGTGGATTGGAGTTCATGGAGGGTTTGGTTAGTGGAGGTTTTTATTGGTGATGAACATAATGTGATTGGAAATGCCCCTACATCTCACCTTTCAACATCAACCCAGGGCAGGACTGCAGAAATGGAGCCGCGTGTGGTTGAGGTCACAGGTGACCTCTTCACATGTCCAAGCACACACAGTCTGGCACACTGCATCTCAGCCGACTGTCGGCTGGGCAAGGGCATTGCGGCCATCTTCAAACGCAAGTTTGGCGGCATCTCAGAGCTGCTGGCACAGCGTAAGAAGCCTGGTGAGGTGGCCGTGTTGCGTCGCGGGTCACGCTATGTGTACAACCTCATCACCAAGCACAAGTACTACGAGAAGCCGACGTACGAGACACTGCGGCGCGCGCTGAGCGCGGTCAAGGAGCACTGCGTGACGCACGAGGTACGCCACCTGGCCATGCCGCGCATCGGCTGTGGCCTGGATGGCCTAACCTGGGACCGCGTTCTGCCCATCATCAAGGACGTCTTCCAAGACTGCTGCGTGCAGGTCGAGATCTTCTCGCTGTGAGGTGACCTGGCGCCGTGGTGGCAAGGGCCGCAATGGCGATGCGGCTCTGCAGCAGGGTCGCTTTGTCGGACAAAGTTATGTGCTCCTCGTGCTTCACTTTGAACTGGAGATGGTCGGGTTGCGCGAGGAGCATCGCGTTGGCTGACGGTGCTCGTGAAAGGGTTTTCGTAAATCGCGAGTGATGCTGAAGCGGGCGTGTTTCTCAATGGGGGCAGGTGAGGGTGGATCAAGTTGTATCCTATGAAGGACATCTCCGTGAATATTAAAATGCGTGAGATATTCCGAAATGCTGCATATCGGATATGTTGAAGCTGATGTGTCGACATCTCGCAGACTTTATCTGCAGTGTACCAGAGAAAAACTCCTCGTGTCACTCAAGTTGGTAATGCCAATGCCGCAAGATGCCACCAATGCCAACCAATCGTTGGCTCTTGATTCTAAGCTGCCCCTCTAGGTCTGCTGCGGTGGCAGAATCTACGAGAATCCCAGCATGTTCGCCATCGGTGATATGTTCTTACTTTGTTGCCTGATGTAGGCTGTGTTTTTGTTATATAATACACGTTGAAAAGGTTCGCGGCCACGAACACGATGTGTACTTGTAAGGCGCCTACAGGAGAGTGAGGTTGCGATGGTGGCCCCGTGCGAACGAAATTATGACGGGCAGATCTCTTGGGCTCCCGAGGACTGCCCGCGGTTCGATCCTTCCACGCCTGGGAACATTTTATCCTCGGCATCTCACGAATACAAAAGTCCTTTCGATAAACGTGCTGCCCCACAACCTCGCGGCGATAGCAATGGCGGATGGCGAGCACGGATAATAAAGTGGTGTTTTTTTCCAGGAAATGATAATGGAACCAATTTAAGTAGCTGCTGTTCCGAAAAAACAGCACTCATGACGCACATCGCTTAGCGATGAACTGTTTGAACGTGTGCGATCGCATCGTGTTTATTGTTCGATCGGAGCAAACGTCATTTTGACGTCAGCGGCTGGGAGCACGTTGAATCTCGACGCCTTTTGCGGCAATCTGTCAAAGATTAGCGAATTGCCGGCGCCTCCCTGCATTAGCAGATGTGGCCAATGAAAGGCTGCGGCCAGCACATATTTCAGAAGCGAGCCGCGCAGTGGGGCCAAATCGCCGCAGTGAGGTACTCTGCGTTCATCGCATTGGAAAGCCGGCAGCAAAATCGATCAGATAAGAACAGACGGTATGCTTGTCACGGTGACGTTCATGAATATTCCAAGGACAAAGTGGCCAGGGGAATGTTGTCTTCCGTTAATACACACACACTGTTGAAACGCCAGCCACGGATAACACCATCAACAGACCGTTCACGTAATAACCGGCGGATAACCCTGGCAGATTCAACTTTTGCCGGCCGGCCTCGGCGCATTAAAACAGTGTTTAGCCGACGCGCCACACTAAGGTCCAAGGTGAACGAGAAACGCCATCCCGCCGAAAGGTCAACGCTTTCCCCAAGCACAGTACATGTATTAGGCATTTCCGTATTTACATCAAGAAGCAGGGACGGCCAGGCTTCATGACAAGAGCCAGTGATCGTGCCTGGGCCCAGTCAACCACGGCCACAAGTACGGTTCGCTTTAATATGATTACATCGGCAGAGCAGTGCAGTGCAGAGCCCGCGAGGACGTGCATGCACTCCACAGGTATCACTATTCACGTCTCTGATTAGACATAGCTTATCTTATTTAGCGTATACTGCACTCGGAATCAGGCTGCCGGTGCAAGCGAAAGCTAATTCAAGGAACTGGATGATTGGTCTGTCTACGAAGGGCGCTGGTCTGCCTTCAACGGGCCGTGTAACCCTGTTACAGACCACACGAGCTGTTCAGCAGTCGACCGACGACGTTCCTGACGAGATTCCCAGGCGCCCCGCGTTTCGGCATGGAGATAACCGGCTAGATGACTGCCAACACTCAACACATCTGAATCAGCAACTCAGCTGGTTCGCTGCGCAATGCACATTCCCGTCGCAGCCGCGCTCGCTACACGGACATGTACGCGATCTCATCGGACCTACAACAAAATGATAATCAACGACAGCATATACGGGCACGCTACAAAATGAGGACATCAAAACCATAATATCGACGAAAACCGTTGGAAAATCCCGTCCATCCACGACTGATGCCCACATGGCCATGAGCGCAGTAGACCACTCAATCATAGTACACAGGCACGACTGTCGCTCAACACAGCACCTGGTTGTGATCCCTGTACTCCGCGTCGTTCGTACACCACTATGAGAACTATGGTTCCGAGGATATTCCAGTTCCAGATCATCTGTGCATGTGCAATGGATCGCAGGACCGCAGCTGCCGCACCACAAACAGCACTCGCTCCGCGAAGTTCCAATGATAGGCACAAGGAGGTCGCGCAGCAACAAACGACCTTACCATTTTCAGCACGGGAATATGCATATGTGTAGTCACGGCGGTGGTGTTTTAAGCTTCCAAACTGTGGTTTCTGTCACAACAACTTGGTCGCGGATAGGAAACGAACTCGGCATTCCTGAAAAATTTACACCGCGCGACCAGGAAATCAACAAAGTTTACACAGGCAAAATCTCCAAACACATACACGCTATTCTTTGCACATGGGAACAGTGGTTAAGAGTGCAATGCGGGCATATCTTTGACCTGACACCTGTGCAATCACCAAAACCCAAGATCACATATCCTTCCTGCACTGCGAGTTCGTTAATGACCGTCGTGACGCTGCATCCGTTCATGATACACAAAATGCTGTGCAAGTCGACATACCCAACGGAAGAAAAAAAAACATTATTACTTCATATAACGCACTGGTAACGCGTCAGCACCACGAAGTGCCGGCCCCTTTATCAGATACCAGAGAGAGCGGAAGCAATAACCATGTGGCAAAAATGGACATGACATTCCGTGCTGACTTCCCTGCTTTCGTTCAAAAGGCGGAGATTCATAAATTCACATACCACTGACGTAGTTTCGCTGCAAAGGAACGCACACACACCTTACAACTAGGAATATCCAAAGAATTGATGACATAAGAGAAATCAATGTCATACACAGCTTATCACGCAAAATTTACTGTCCCTTAGCGTCATGCTATTGTATTTACTCCCCTGGCACACAGGCCGCCGATTTACAGAGACAGGTACATGCAATTTAAGCAGGGCGACGCTAACTTTCCAGTATGCGAATAACATGGAAGCAGTACGCGCGAGTCGGATTCCACGGTGCCGTCCGCACTTGAATTTTGCTGGACCTTTAAACCCATCCGAAGCGCTGAGTACTCTAAAGCAATCCATTTGGCTATCATATTTATACACCAATAATGACGTCACAGCAACAGGATCACACGTCCCTTAGAAAGCAAGGCTGGCGCCACAGCCTGAGTTCGTACGTGGCAGGTGGCCCAGCCGTATCCACTGAGGACCTCCGCGAGAACCTCCGCGATGTCCCCGGACAGGGCGAGCCGGCGGTCCTCTACACGCACTTGCTCCAGCTGAATCCTCCGCAGGCGTATGTGACAATGCCGTACAGGATCAGCTGCAACGATGATGTACGTGGCAGCTGAGACCCCTCACAGGCGTACGTGACGGTACCATACAAACAGTCGGGGAGGAACACTCTTGTTCATAGTAAGGAGGGGGGAGGCGAGGGAAAATGTCTCCCAAAACTAGTGGTGCTTTGATTTTTGTTTTCTTCTGTGACACCATGCTCATTTAGGACCCAAAGCTCTCCCGTGAGGGCATTGTGTGTGATAACAGCGCCCACCCAAAAAATTGACGCAAGGCTCTATACGTGTACCAGGTTACATGCAATACAGAACGCATGACAACTCTGAACCGCAAGCGGCGGGGATGCGGCAGGGCGTGACAACTTATGACTCAGGGAAGTCTAGACTGAGAGCTATAAGCTGCGGGTTCGCGCCAAATGCTCAATGTTCCGGGGTTTGTGTGGGACCCGCCGCGGCGCCGTGAAGCTCACGCGATCGGCGTGGCTGGTTACGACGGCAATCTTCATATCAGTCGCGTGCGTCGCCAAATAACCCTATCCCATCTATATCGCCATACCGGCCACCCCGAACCGTTGGCAGACCTGCGCAACGATAGCACGCATAGAAGGAGCTGTGATGTCGATAAGCTGATCAACACGTGGCAATCCAACCAACCTCAACAGCTACCTTTGGAAACAATCGAACCAACCGAACAAGGCACGTTAATTCTTGACAATGACAAATGGCACAACCGCTACTTACCAAGCATACCAGAGTACAGATGACAATGATTTTCACATTCTTCCACCACATAGCTCTGGCGAGGCTGCGGCTTGTGGAACGAAAGCTGACACTCTGAAAAAAACACGCAACAGTGGTGGCATTTCAGTCAACCATGCTTGTCATGCGTGCAGACTTCAGCTCACTGCTCTACTTTCGTCTTTGCGTGGTAGTTCGTGATGATCAGAACCTTACTAAAGCATCCTTTCATCCCAACCATGCGCATGGCATGAACGAGGGTGTCAATCTCAGGATACTCCCTATCTTTCAAGATGGGGTAGTGCTGAGAAGATTTAAAAAGGCGATATTTTAAACATTGTTAAAAGCCGCACATATCACGACATAAACACACCAAAAAAGCCGTAAAGGTGCATGCTAGGTGGGACGAATTAACGGTGAAAACAATCTGACATGAAAACAAGGTGATGTAGAAAATGTGACGCGCAAGCAAGTCTGACTTGGAAATTAAGTGCAGTTTACAGCCGTCTTTTTAAGACTTAAACCCCTCTGGTTTCTGGGCTTGACGCCAGAGAACCTGTGCGGACTATTTCGCGCAGAAGATTTAGATTGGACCTTGTCGTCATTGGGGCTTTACGACGCACTCAGCTGCTGAGGCTATATGGCGTCGCCTGCCTCTCAACCCGGCGGGAGAACCCCGCACCCCGCACCCCCAGTTTGAACCCCGCACCTCTGGTCTCCCAGACGCGCAGCGATTAACGC